GGGAGGGTGACAGAATTCACCAGAGCCAGAGGGGAAAGCAGAGCAGGCAGACTGAGGAAGTACACTGCTGAGGGGAGCAGCGGGCGGCAGGAGAGGTCTGCACGCCATGTGGGACCCTCGCCCAGCAGCCGGGGATCGAACCAGAACTGCAGAGGATGCAGGCAGCCTCGCAACCCAGCGCTCAACTGCTCTGCCACCAGGGAAGGCCCCAAGGGTTATATTTTAGAAGACCATTCCTATTCAGAAATTATAAACACTTCTGTATTTATACATGGCTTCTTCATTGCCCTTGAAATTTATTTCTATGAGAACTCAGATTTATTTTCTAAATAGAAATACAGTAATTTCAGAACATTTAATTAAAAGTCCATACTTTAGCCAATGATCTAAAACGTCAACTTTTATCCTGTATAGATTCTGAATTTATTGTCTACTATTTACTCATTTTAAAACTTATACTTTATACTAACACATTTTAAATCTGTTGGTTAAATTATATGAAAAAAAATCTATGCATTTGAAAACACAAGTGATTTTGATTATAGAGTAACTGCTTCAATACTTTTTTCACTTTATCTGCCTGCCTCAACGCTACTGTCTTCCTTAGAGAAAACCATTATTACTGGTGTTTATTTCTTCAGACTCTTTTCAGTCTTGCATTTAAGTACATAAACAATGTATTAATAGATTCTCTCTGTATAAATTGAAATGTTGAGAGCACTTTCTATCTTCTTTTGGTATTTGTTCATAATATCAATATGCTCCTTCGTGGTTACCACTATGAACATTTAGGGTATTTCCTTGCAGACTCTTTATATATATATATTTGTATGTGTGTATGCATACAAAGGATATAAGGATATATGGGACTGATATTTAGCTAGCATGCAGTAGTATTGTTCAGTCAGTTATTAAAATATTGATCTATATCTGTTGTTGATAGAGACCTTCACCTCTAGTTCCCCAAGGACCCCCCCACTTGGAGGTCATCCCACATTGGAGGTGGGAGCCCACCTCCAAGCCCCTGTAAATCCCTCACAATACGTTATCTAATTATGAGGAAGGTAAATGCTCCAAATAACAGTAGGCCTCCAGCACTACGGCTCACACCTATTTTGGTCTATTGGTTTTCTGTGTACTATTTGTTAAATATCTTGAATATCCCTGACAACTTAATTCATATAGTAGGTCTCTGAGACTTAAAGTTACTAAAAATGACTTTAAAAAAATTCATATTTGAGAATGTGGAAGGCAGAATTATGCTCCCCCCCCCTACGCCTATGAACCATAAGTGTTTATGTCCTAACTTCTTATAACATGTTTTATTGTATGTCCTGGAGGGGAATTAATGGTACAGATGAAATTAAGATTGCTACTCAGCTGAGTTTGAGATCAGAGATAATCCTGGATTATGTGAGTGAGCCCAATATAATCACAAAAGCCCATAGAAGTGAAAGATAGAGGCAGGAGTATTAAAATCAGAGAGATATTTGAAGATGCTATGCTGTTGCATTTGAGGATGGATAGAGTCACCAAACTCTAGAAGCTGGAACCCTTTAAGGAGACATAGCCCTAAAACGCACCTTGATTTTAGACCCAGGAGACCCCTTTCAGATATCTCACCTCCAGAACTGTAAATCTGTTTGTGTTGTTTTAAACTACTAAGCTTATGTCAATTACAGCAATAGAGAAAACTAACAGATTAAACTGACAGTACAAATAATAATTTACATTATAATACTATTTCAAACCACTCTAAGCTGCTTCTGATCTCTAAATTCTTAGAAAACTGTCCCTCCAATGTCTCCTATTCATGGTATGGGGGGGTGTCTTTAGATCTCAACTTACTCAATCTGGGGCACTTTTCATGGTGGAACCCTCTTTTCTATAAATGCCCTCGTCCCTTCGTTTCTATGACCCTACTCCTTTTCCCTCCATTTTCCCCCGGCCTCCTTCACTACTAGCATTACCTGATGTCCTCTTTTTTCCTTTTTTTTTTTTTTTTTAATATTTTGCTGTATCTAATGCATCAGTCTTTTACAAATTGTGTTCTTTATTTCTTCTCTTCTGAATCTGTATAGTCTCCTTTGATAGCCTTTACCATGTTCTGCAAAGACAAATGCTTATCTCCACTTCAGTGATAAAGGTAGATTGTTTTGAGCTTCTCACTGACTTATGATTCTGTGACTTCTACAAAATAAAATAGTACTTGAGTTTAGTTCACTAGTCAAAAAGAATCTTCTAAGAAGAGAGCTAGCTTGATCCCCTAGCTGCTTTCTCAGATCTCACAGTTTACTCAGTACTATAGGAACAAGGTACAGAAATATCACACTTTCCAGTCTGTCACAGAAGCCAACAATGTGTTAGTGTCAGTGCAAAGGTGAGAATGTAGGTAGGGAGGGCTAATTCCCATACAGAAGTGTAGTAAAAAGACCATCTCCTCTTCCTTTGACTTTCTCCTCCTCTCTACTCCTCTTTCTGCTCTTCCTTTTTTTCCCTCCTACAATACAACAGCAAATCATACTTGAAAGACAGCAGTTGTTTTTTTTTTTTTTTTTTTTTTGGTTTTTATTGTTATTTACTGGATAGTGTTTTAGAGGAAGATTGGATCCATTTGAGAGAAAAAACTCAAACGGTTTATTCTTTGTCTAAATATAGCTTGAGGGCCTCCCCAGTGGCGCAGCGGTTGAGCGCTGGGTTGCGAAGCTGCCCGCAACCTTTGCGGCGCCGGTTCGATCCCCGGCTGCTCCCCGGTCACCAGAGGAGGGTCCCACATGGCGCGCAGACCTCTCCTGCCGCCCGCTGCTCCCCTCAGCAGTGTACTTCGGTCCTTCTGCCTGCTCTGCTCCCCGCTCTGGCTCTGGTGAATTCTCTCACCCTCCCGCGCTTCTGACTGTACCCAGTGCATGTATAAACAAAAAACAAACAAACAAGCAGACAAATAAATAAATGGAACATGCCTCTATTAAAAAAAAAAAAAAAAAAAAAAAAAAAAAAAAAGATAAATATAGCTTGAGTCATTCTGTCTTGCTACTACCTGAAGGATCTTCCTAGAAGATGCCAGAATTGGAGTGTAGCTTGTAATTGGTACAACACAGTGATTATAAACCACAAACAATGAAATTGGAAAAAAAGGTTTTATTGAGACCAGGGTGAGATGATTTACAGATGCAAATATAGGCAAGGCATTAGATGAAAGAGTAGGAGTCAAGGAAAGTTACCATTTAGAGCTCCATAGGCTTTGTATTTTTGTAAAGACTAAGGATGAAATAAATCTCTGATTAATATCAGCTGCTGCAGATCATAACTGCAGTGACTAGACCTAGCCGGGAAGACTGTGCTTCTGTGTTTCATAGAGAGATTGGATTCCTCGATGCGTTTAGAAGGAGAACTGTCAACTAGTAATACTGGGTCAAAGGCCATCTTGGAAGATTCTAACACAAAGAGTCTTGCTGATCTCCCAAGGAGCTCAGCCATCTCTTCTTCCCCATCAAGTTCGACAGTTGAAACAGCATACTGGACAATGTGGGTGGGGAGGTGATATGGAGTGGACATGGGGTTGGAGCAGGTTCACATTTACTGTAAAGTTCTAATACACAAAGCTGCCCACTTCTTGTTTATCCCAGTACAAGGGAAGTATTGGCTGCACATGTGCCTGAGCTTCCTTAGTGGGCTCATGGAGTCAGTTCTGTGAAGGAATAAGGAACAACTTCTATTCCCTTATTCTGGGAGATATATGAGACATCCCAAGAGTACTCACTTAACCCAAACATGTAGAGAGCTTGGGGGATAAACCATGAAACAGATACTAGTTGGGGGCCCAGGTTCTTCCATCATGGGATGGGGTCCTTTCTTAGGCAGGAGACTATTTCTATGGGTTTCATGGAGGCATACTTGGAGGAGAGGGTAGTATAACAAAAATTGTTCCAAAATCATAATGAATCTCTCCTGAACTTCTGTAAACAAATGCCTATCTTAACCAATTTCAAAAATAGATATCTGCCTTAGAGGTGGGACTGGGGTGAAGGTGACTATTTCTGCAAGAATGCAAAGAATATGATAACATTACATTTTGGGTATCCAAAGTAGGATGTTGGAACAAAATAGTGAGCTGGAAAGCAAAGCCTTTGTACAGAATTTGCTGGCCCACCAGAATCATTTTTCCTAAGAGCGGAGGTGATATCCCTCCTGCCTGAATTATAGATGGCAGCTCCTACCTGCCTTTTAGACTCCTCTTTATCAAGAAAATCAGAGGGTCAGTTAGCCCTTGTATTTTGTTGTTAAGCCATCTTTCATTCAGCTGTTCTGCTGCTGCTGGTTGATGCTTAGGAGAGAAATGATGCTTTAAATGCCCAGTATCTCTGTTTTCCTGAACTTTGCCATTTCCTTCTTTTGCTGTATTGATCTTACCACCCCCATCTAATATAGGGTCAGAATGGTGACTACTGGCTTCAGCAAGAACTCCCCTCTATAGGCATGCATTTGGAGAAAGGAACAGAAAACGTAACTATGCCAGCTAGAATCCTTAAGATTATTTGAACTACACTAAGTTGGTGTCTTTTCAAGGTGAAATTTGAAAGATGTAAACTCAAAAATTGTTGGGTACTTGGTTCTAGTGTTGCAGGAAAAGCCAAGCAGTAGGAGTGAACAAAGCTACTTTCAGTCTGATGGATGCTGGGAGAGTCCCTGCAGCATTCTGACACCCTCATCCTTGAGGACATGTGCATTCTATCCTTGCTGCAGCTTTCCCACCTGAGTTAATACATTTTTTGTTCAAGTTTACTCTCCTTTGCTTGCAAGTATGAGTTACAGTGCTGTGGTGTCTGATTAAAGCAACTTTCAATGATGCTATGCTCTCCCTCAATTCTACAGTACTTTATGAAAGTATTCCTAGTATAGCAAATCTTTGAAAAGATTGCTGAAATTTTTCCATTTGTAGAAAATTTAAAATAACCTTTTCTTTCACATCCCCTTTGTGAACAATAATAACTCTCTCTTAGAATGAACAAAAGGAAGACTTGTGCTTCAGAGATGTGAGATGCTATGATGTGATTCATCAGGCCTTTCTTCTGGAAAAGATTTTGCTGTGTTTCTATTTATTTTTTTGAGGTCAGGTAAGAAAAAAAAAACACATTATTCTCCCTTTTTGTGTTATAAATGAATGTAATTGCCAAAAAGTCAACAAAGACCCCTGATGTAAACCTGTATTAGTTTCAGCTAAGCTACTCCAAACACCATCACATACCTCAGGACCTGGGTAGCAGGATCTATTTTCACAGTTCTCTCCAATTCTAATGAGCTCTAAAGAAGTTTATTTCAAAATAATCCTTCTGTATTAAGCACTGGCTCATTGACAGGTTCTCTTTTATCATAATTATATGAAGTTTATTTTCTAAATGAAGGTTTATTTTTGCATGGAATTCTGAGGTTTTGCATTGTGTATATGAAGCAATTAGTTTGGGATTTTTGGAATTTATTTTAGACCAGACAGATGTCTTCAATTTACACACTCTAGGAGGTGACAAACCCTATTAACATTCGAAAGCTATCAATTTGCTTTATCTTTGTTCTTTAGCATTCTCAGCTATGATCCAAGCTAACTCTTTTTATGTTAGCTGCTTTATTTTTTGGTCTTTTTTTTTTATTTTCCTGTAGACAGAAGCAAAATATTAAGGAAAGGATGGAAGACAACTTCAGTTATTTTATCACTGTTAAAATCTGGTGGTTACTTTAAGAACCATGAATTTTATGTTGGGAATGCATAATTTTTCTAACTAAAATTCTTTCCCCCGCCAATAGTCATTGTTTATGCCTAAACAAATACATGCTCGTCTTCATCTTTTACTTATACTTTTCTCTATCACGTTGGTAGCCCGAGTTAAATCTGATACTGTCTTTGCTTACGTTTTCTTTCTTTAGTCAATGACTGTTTTTATACAGGTAATATAACCATCATCTCTAATGTTTATGCTTAAGTGTGCATATGCTTTAATGTATATATTCAAGTGTGAATTCAATTGTTCTTCTATTCATTGATCATATCCCTTATAGGTCAAAAGTAATTGCACTCAAATTGTGTGAAAATTTTGGACTGCTGATATGGGAGGCAGGGGGTATCCTCAAATGATAATCCCCATTCATTTTTATTCTAAAATTGAGGACCTCAGTAGTGTTGTTATACTTTTTTTTTTTTTTTTTTTTTTTGGGTGCACTCGGCAGCCACTAGATGGCTCAGTAGATATGCCCAGGTCTTCTCCAGAGTCATTATTTTAAAACCTAACGACCTAAATTGCTATTCATTTCTCATGCTGAAGTTTCAAACTGCACCCAGATTGTGCTGATTACAGGATTAAAAAATGAGGGAACAACAGACCCAGACTTGATCTGAACAAATCTAGCCCACCGCACAGCAATTTTGTTTACATGTTTGCTTTTTGGTATTGCTCCGTATTTTATTTTCAGTGCTTTGGGACATATTATCACTGGCAAGGAGAAGATTATGGACTAACAGATGTCATCAGTAATGTCAGATCTAGATCAAATGTAGAATGATTATACATCCTGACACAGATGTTTTTGAAATATAGGATAATCCATTATATACAGGAGGTCTGACAACTCTACTTTTAGTGACATTGTACCCGACTTTGAACTCATGCTGTTTCCTTTATCTTGGATTAACTTATTTACTTATGAGTCCAATAGAACTGAAAATACTTAGAACTAAGATTAGAAGGATACTTCCTTAACATAACTACTGTAAACCACTTCAAAAGTGAATATCAAAATATGTTTAATGGTGAAATATCATAGGTGTCCCTATTACAATGAGGAACAAGGTAAGTATTCTTGCCATAATAATTTATAAGTTTTCTTCTGAATGTTCTAGATAATTCAGTCTTTACTGCATGTAAATCATAGTATTTTCCTTCTAAAAACAGAAGGCCTATAAAGTAGGTCAGTTACAAAGAAATTATACAAAAATAATTAAAAAAATTAACTGTACAAAAGCAAACTTCCCTATATGCAGAAATTATCCATTAAAATAAAACAAAATATATTCCATTAGCTACAATATCCAGGTATGCTTAAAAGAAATATATAGGTCTCTTAGACAAATTACTACAAAACTCTCCTGAATGACATAAAAATGCTTACAAAAAAGGAAAGGAAAAAGAAAAGAATACTCTTTCAGAGTGGAATAGAAACATTATAAATGTAAAAATTAATTTATTAAAAATGTTAATGATAGTCCAGCTACTGTTGTTCCAGGATATGTTTTTCAAATATCAAATATTTCTTACAGTCACTCTTTTCTATGAGAGAGAAGAGTCAAGAAAATTAGAATGAGGGATTTATTTGTTGTTAAACAGTTTGTTTACAACATACTGCAAACTGCAGTAGCCACATATGATAGCGCTAACTACTTGAGGGGAATAATAATTCATATCTAGGATATGGCATATTCCTAACTAAACATTTATAGATATCATTCATATATTTGCATAATATACTATATTGTATTTTGTGTGAGTTAGTATTAATAAGGTAGCACTTCAAATTATTGGATAAAGAAGAGATTTTATTCAACAAAGTATACTTCTTAATATTATAAAAGCAATTTGTCTATGTGTACTATACTATAAGATAAAATCCACGTGTGGATTATAGAAAGCAATGAAAAAGCATATACATATAAGAGAACTAAAACTGTAGATTTGAACATTTGTATAATAACAGTGTAAGGAATTTTTTTAAAGCAGCTCAAGGGGAAAATATTCATGTATGTGAATATATGAATAATTTTCTTCTCAAAAACTAAAAGTGATTTATTAAACTATCAACAGGAGAAGTTTTTACAGATTAATGAAAAGATGCTTTCATCCTTGATGTATTGAGCTCTTACAAATCAGTAAAAAAAAAGTCCACTAGGTTGAAATTAAGGGGAAAAATTTGAACTGGCAAATCACCAGTGAAGCCATACACAAATAAAAAATGACAAATAAACAAGTTTTAAAAATGCTCAGCTACACAAGTAGCCAAAGAAATGAAAATTACAACAACAATGAAATGCTGTTTTTGTCTCAAATTGGCAACAACTAAAAGGAATAATTATTGGAGCACTGGGCAGAGTACAGAGAAATGGACACTCTCATATTCCAATGGTGGGTATGTAAATTGGAACAACATATCTGGAGGGCAATTTGGCAGTGCATTTCAAACACATTAAAATGTGCATATCTTTTCACCAAGGAATGCCACTTTTAGGATTTGATTAGATGTATATAAAAATATCTGTGCAAGGATGATCACCATCTATTTCTCATTACTCTGAAGATTTGGGCCAAATTTAAATGTTCAGAAATATGAGAGAGATTAAATAAACTGCAGTATGTACATACAATTCTTTTAATCTAGTCATTCAGCAAGTATTTATTTACACTTAGGTAATATGTACTCATTAGAGAGCTAAAAGACAAAGGGCTAAGGAAATGTTCACAGGATGTAGCTGAGTGAAGGCTGCAAAACAATATCAAGTGAGATCTCATTTTTTTTATGAAGCCTGGATGCTCCTTCCCTCAGGAGAGTGAAGATACAAATGAAGTTATAGCAATATTGGCACCCATTTTATGCTAAGTTATAAAGCCCATGAACATAAAACAGTAGGATTTAGTTCCCTTCTCAAAATTTCCCTCAATTATTGTTCTTGGATTCAAATAAAATAGACTAATCTACTGTCCTATAGCTAGCATTCAATAAGGTTCTCCAGAGAAATAGACCAAAGGAAAAGGTAAATAAATATAAATATATATGTAATTATATATGCTTACATATATATTTATTTTAAAGAATTGATGCATGCAAAATAACAGGCCGAGAAGTCCTGAGATCTGCTCTCTGCTAGCTGGAGAGCAAGAAAGCCCAGCTGTGTAGACATGTCTGAATCCCTGAGGCCTCGGGAAACCAATAGTGTATGTCTCAGTCCAGGTCCCAGGGCAGTAGAAGACTAATTTCTATCTTAAGCAGTCAGACAGAAAGAAAATTCTGTCTTACTGTGCTTTTAGGCTCTATTCACATCCTCAATAGAAGATACCTCTCCGCATTGAGGAGGGCAATCTATTTCATTGAGTTTGTGGATTCAAACGCTAATTAACCTCTTTCAGAAACACCTATTTAGTCACACTTTAGAAATAATGTTTAGCCAGGTATTTGGGTATCCCATGAACCGGTCAAACTGACACATAAAATTAGCCCTAACAGAACAAGAGGGGGCGGAGCAACATGGCGGCGAGGAGACGCTGCGAGTAAGATCTCCCATTAAAAAAAGTGAATAGGGAGGAAAAGCGGCAGATCCCAGTGAGAACTGGGACACGGAAGATAAACGGGTGACTCCAGCGAACTGCCCGAAGAAGAAAGTGGCCATAAAAGAGGACTAGAAGGGAGGGAAGCGCAGAACCCTGCTCCCCTCCCCCTCCCACAGAGGCGGCACTCTCCGACCGGCAGAGAGGAGGAAAACAACAAACCAAAACGGCCAACAAGAACAAATGACGCAGCAAGCGGGACTGTGAGTGGAAAGGAACTATTGCAGCCACCACACCCCGTGAACGGGAGCTGAGGCGAACCCTGCAGGATTCGCTGCGGCGGTGAGCGAACGGCTCCGGGCGCCATTAGAGAAGAACAAAGACCCCGGGAGACGCGCACACAGCCCGGGCTGCCGGTAAGCTGGCGCAGAAAGCAGCGCGCTTGGCGCGCTTGAAAAGCAAGTGCAGACCGGGATCGCGGCTGCCCAGGTCCCCGCGCCTGCGACCTAGGCTTGGGAGACGACCTAGGCTTGCCGGGAGATGCGCGGAGGTCCTCACTGAGGTGAAGGTCCCTCCCTGAGTGAGCAGGAACCAGGCGTCCAGGCACGGGAGCGGTGCAAAAGGCGCCATTCCCGCGCCACTGAACTGGGCTACAGCCCGCGTCCTGGAACTGAGGGCTTTGGAACTGAGACCCGGGGCACGAAATTAGGGGCATGGGTTCCCCACGACGGTGGGGCACAAGGCAGACACAGCACCCCAAAGCCGTTGAGGTGTACCCTACCATCCCCGCTCTGCTCCCTGTCCCACGGGGT